TTTTTTTATGAATAAATTTATAGTGATAAATTTATCAGTCTCTTATTTTTATAGTGTTAAATTTATTAGTTAAGACTTGTAAATAAATAAGTCTAATTAATAAAATTGATTGGTAAGTACCCCTTAATTTATTTAGCCTATTTTACGTTTTTATTTTTTAAATCTCAAAAATCTTCGCCTAACAAAGCCAAATAACGGGACTTTAGAGCTTACTTTGGGGGTGTTTGGTAGGGCTTTTTTTAGCCAACTTATGGCTTCTGGCTTTTAAAAAGTTATTTTGGACTGTTTGGTTAAACTTATTTCAAACAACTTCTGATTCTAACAACTTATTTTAAGTGAAAAAAGCTGATTCTGAGAAGCTGCTCACCCCTTGCTTCTGATTATCAGCTTCTGCTGTGGACATATTAATTCACGGTTATACTCTTAGATTTTTTTATTTTTTATTTTTTTAAAAATAGAAAAAGACACAAATGGACTATAAAATATTATTATTATTTTTTATGAGAAATATAGACAAATAATGAATAATAAAAAATAAAAGTTAATTAAAAAAGCTACTTCACAGCTTATTTAACAAACACTACTCAGCAACTTAAATCTATAATCCAACAGCTATACCAAACAGATTAACAACTTCTGATTAAAGTCATAATTTATAATCTGTTAAGCTATAATCTATAATCTATTTTAACAGCTACACCAAACAGCACCAATATCTCGGTCTATTGACCAAGTGGGAGATGTTGGATTGAGTGGCCAAATAGCTCTCAATATTTTATTTATTAATTTGTTCATATATATAATGTTTTAATTTATTATTATATTTGATTAACATTTGGTTGCTCAATTTTTTTCTTTTATTTACAGAAAGGATAATGGGTGTGATTGACCAAGTTGACTAAGTAGTTTGATTTGGTTAAACCACTATTAAGTGTTTTCCTACTTAATATGAGATATGTATGTGGATGGGCGTAGTGTGGTTATTATCTCCTAATAAAAAGGAGTTGTTATAATATGGATAAATGGTTAAAGATTTGCGTGAGTGAAACAACCCCCATAATCTGAGGGAATCTGTTTTCTAACGTGTATACAGATATGGCTGTGTGAAACAACCCCCACAATCCGGTTTTTAGGAAGACAGTTTCTAACGTATACTTTTGCATACTTATATATATGTGATTCCCAACCATGAAAAAAACATACACTGCAACCCAAGCACAATATTTACAATATCTCTCCATTATCTATTACTTTTGCACACCTTTTATTTTTCTAGATATCAATTCAATTTTTGCTGTTGCTGCTGAACATCATGGTGCCATTACAATTCAAGAATTCCGGCGTGGCGTCATTTGTTAACTATCAGAAGCGACAAGTGAGGCGGATGCACGGATAAAATGGGGGTTGAGGGGTGGACAACGGTTATCAGTGCGAGGGAGTGATGAAACGGAGAGTAGAGCGAGAGAGTACACGGCTTGTAGGGGTTGTGAGGGTTTGGTTTGTGTATATAGCATATATATATATATATATATAGACAGAGTATTTTGTTCATTTTATTTACGTTTGTCCTTATGAACAAAA